TACTCTTTTACCGACGAATAGTGGGATTGACCATCACTTTATAACGCCCCCACGGCTGGAAGGGCGATCATGTTTGGTGGGACTGGGATTCAAACCTGCGATCCTCTAACTGCAAGTCAAGCACCCTAACCACATGGCTATGCCGGGCCCTCTCAGTTTGGCCTGAGGCAGGGATCAAACCCGGAATTCTAGGTTTACAAGCCCCTAATCTAACAGCTGAGTCAGCTGGGAGTAAAACATTATGAAAAACTTAAGAGGCAGTCACGGTGATTGCAAAAAAAAAAGCAACAATTAATCAATTAATCTTTTAATTCAAATCCAAACTATGCGACAATTTGTCAGAGAATTTGAAATTTATAAACTTCGTTCAGATAATTCTAGAACTATAGAAAATATATTTATTTTTCTTTCAGGTGGTACTTAATTCATAATGAGGGGAAAATAGCCTAAGAAATCCAGCCTAGTATACGTAAGACTAAAAATAGACGAGTGGTGGATAAAAAAACAGGACAGAACTGTCGATAATCAAAAGATGGGTTATCAAAATGTTGAAGAATGTAAGAAAAGCGTAACATATGTATAAGAACACAAAAAAGGGGTCAAAAACGCATAGAAGCCATAAAGGATTTGTCAAATAATAAAACCGAAACAAAATGGCTACGAAAGTGGTTGTAAAATATATCGTGGATGCTATAGAAATATCGATAACAGAAAGGCTACTTAAATGATAAAAAAAATATATTCTAATGTTTATAAAAAAAAATAATCAATTAGGAACAGTCATCACCGATACCAAGTTGAATTTGAGTTTCACTCTAAGCAAATAGCTTGCTCTGATCAGAAGTATATATCAGAAGCTGCCGGCAAAGAAATTTCAAAGTGCCGTTGATTGGTTTGTTTTGAATTTCGCGCAAAGCTACACGAGGGCTATCTGCGCAAGCCGTCCCTCATTGAGTAGTGAAAGACTGGAAGGAAGGCAACTAGTCATCACCAACCACCGCCAACTGTTGGGTTATTTTTTTATCAACGAATAGTGTGATTGACCGTCACATTATAACGCCTACATGACTGAAAGAACGAGCATGTTTGGTGGGACAGGAATTCGAACCCACGACCCTCAGATTGCGAGTTGAGAGCCCTAAACACCTGGTCAAGTGCCGTTGAAAGAGATCTAGCAGGGAATAGTTTGTTAGTTTGTTAAATTTCGCGCGAAGCTACTTGAAAGCTATCTGTGCTAGTCGTCCCTCATTGAGAAGTGAGAGATAGAGGGAATGCAGCTAGTCAACAACACCCACCGCCAACTCTTGGACTATTCTAATAGAATATTGTGATTGACCATAAAATTATAACGGCCCCATGGCTAAAAGGGCGAGCACGTTTGGTGACGAGATTCAAACCCGTGACCCGCAGATTGCGAGTTGAGCGTTCTAACCCCCAGGCCATGTCAGACCCATAATAAGGATGATGGGCAAGTTTGGCGGCAGTTGGTGTTTTGTCTAAACGACTGATTTCGACTTACGCTTAAAATTGCCACAGAGAACGATATTGTACTATAGCACACAGAGTTTTATAGATGTCATGATTATATGATGTAAAATGTAAAATAGCCTATAATTAGCAATAGTTTCTGAGGACACATAACGACCCTGACAGGCTCGGTGCAGCACGTGCAAGACCAACTGATAAGCTTCACAATTCGATCAACTAAATCAGTTTCTGCCAGGGGCCATAAATTTCAGCCGAGTGTTATTTGAATAACCACAACCGTACCTTAGCATCATTCAAATGGACATCTACACTTAACTCCACTTGATGTGTCCAACAACATCCCTCTCAACTCTAACCAATTTGGAGCTACAGGATTTATGAAGTCATTTCCGTCTTTATGGCCAATGGGGGAAACCCACAGATTATGATGGTAAAAAGTCGTGACAGACATATCAAATCCAGTTTAAGGTTGTTATTCAAGTACACGGATATAATACATATTCATGGTCCCCTGAGACAGAACCAGCTTGAGCAACATAGACAACTAAACACGCATTAGCCGAAGTTAATATACTCTTTTTAGTGTCTGATCCTCAGGTTGGAAACGAGTTTTCAAAATAAAGCACAATGTGTCAAGTTGACAAGTATAATAAAGAAAATGAAAAATCCTCGCGCAATTTGCTGAGGACGTAAAACACTTCGCTTAGACCCCCCAGCCCATTCCTCAAAAAAAGATTTAAAAAAGCATTTATTTACTGGCACTTAATCATTCCATTAAAATAATTCAAGACAAAAATACATGGATCACGTGGAAGGCTAACTTTGACAGAAATGGTTCAGTTAGTTATGATGCTAAACAAATTAGGACACACGCTCATCAGAGCCAATACTACCCCCGAAAAACACACTGAGAAGACAGAATGATGAACGTAGTATGGTACTTAAAGGGACTGTTTGTTTTTGAATTTCGCGCAAAGCAACACGAGGGCTATCTGCGCTAGCCGTCCCTAATTTTGTAGTGTAAGACTAGAGGGAAGGCCGCTAGTTATCACCACCTCTTGGGCTACTCTTTTACCAACGAATAGTGGGATTGACCGTCACGGCTGAAAGGGCGGGCATATTTGGTGGGACGGGGATTCAAACCCGCGACCTACAGATTACGAGTCGAGTACCCTAACGTGGAAATAGAATACACTTTGCTAAAGGCTGCAAGCAGCAGCATTTCGCTCGAAGGTATAAACCACGCTGAAAACAGTAGAGTCAAAATTGGCATTGTTATGGTAGACTAGTACATGCATTTGTAACTTGTACGTAACCAGTAGAAAAATAACTTGAGGCACCATAATCAGAGATTGTCCTGTAACTGAAATGGGCTAAGCTACGGGATGGTAAATTCAAGGTTCGAATCGCGATATGCTGCAGAACATGCTTCAAATTTTCAGCTGCAGGAGAGAGGGAGGGAGTTCTGTATTATATTCGGTTAAAAATATAATCGAATAATAAAAGACGGACGTTACTGACTGAATGCCCTCCCTTTGGTTAGCAGTTCTAAGTTGTAGATGGCTATACCCAACCTTAGGAGTCTTTGATTTGGCTGTCTAGCCCATGTTTCACATCAAATCCCGTTCAGATCCAAATATAAAATATCATTGCGGATAGACGTGTTCAAACCTGAAGCAAAACTCACTGTTTCAGGGGAATTGTACACGTTATTAGATGATGCAAAGAAATAGCCATATGCATATCAACACTGACTTATCGTGCCCTCACTAACGATGTGTAACTGTGCCCAGGTGAAATAAGAAAATGAACTGATGTCGATTGCAAATGGTGATTAAAGATACATCTCATGTATATTACTGCAACAGAAAGAGTTTCACTTAAAACTTAGTATGTTAATATCCAGCTGGCTTTATGAAGTGAGGTATAGGGTCAAATGGCCTTGTTACCAACATAGATGAATATAGTGGGAATACTATTATGCACACAATTCTTATTAGAAAATCATATTGAACCAGCAAGGCTTTGTTTGCATAAGGCTACAAAATAGTATATCTGTGCTGTTCCTACCGTGGGTACTGAAACCAGATTTTTAG